CAGTATTCCAGATGTGGCATGAAGAGGGTGTTATTCAGTTTCAGCAAGAGCTTCCTATTTTTATACTCTACTCCCTTTGAAACAAAGGCCAACAGTCTATTTGCCTTCCCTATTATATGGTGAACTTTAGGACCCCTAAATCTCTCCATGTTGCAGCTTTCTTCAGTCTCTCTCTACTAAAATAATATTAAGCACTTCTAGGAGATAGCAAGAACTGCAGATGCCAGTTAGAGATAACACAGTATGGAGCTGGAAGAACACACCAGGCCAGGCAGCATCAGAGGAGGTGTAGGTACGAAGCGGAGATGAGTATTTGAGTAGGTAACCAGCAGCATGGATTAAAGAAAACTAGTAGATGTAATAAATTTGGATTTCCAAAAGGCATTTGAGAAGGTACTGCACATAAGGTTACGTAACAAAATAAAATGTTGGAGGTGTCATATTAACATGGATAGAGGATTGGCTAACTAATAGCAGGTAGAGTTGAGATAAAGGGGCACTTGGTATAAAGAATAGAAGAGCTTAGTACAGTATGGAGCTGGAAGGACACAGCAGGCCAGGCAGAATCAGAGGAGCAGGAAAGTTGACGTTTCGGGTCAGGATCCTTCTTCAGAAATGGGGAGGGGGGAGGGAGCTCAGAAATAAATAGAGAGACGAGGGATGGGGCTGGGGAAGGTAGGTGGGATGGTGATAAGTGAGTGCAGGTAGGGAGAGTTGAGGATTGGTCAGTGAGATGGGAGGGGCAGATAGGTGGGAGAGAAGATGGACAGGTTGTGTCAGGTCAAGGAGGCAAGGATGAGAGGGAGGGTTGGACATGGGCTGAGACTGGGGTGGGGAGATTTTAAAACTGGTGAATTCCATGTTTAGGGGCCTCCGGGCTGTAGGCTCCTGAGGCGGAACATGAGGTGCTGCTCCTCCAGTTTGCGGGTGGTGTCATTGTGACACTGGAGGAGGCCCAGGATGGACATGTCACTCAGGGAGTGGTTGGCGACTGGAAAGTGTTGTCTTTTGTCACGTACAGAGCGCAGATGCTCTACAAAATGGTCTCCGAGTCTACGCTTGGTCTCACTGATGTAGAGGAGGCCACATTGGGAACAGCAGATGTAGTAGACCAAGCTGACGGTATGCCACACTGATCTTTACATAGCCGAGACCCGGCGCCAACTCTCTGACACCTCTTCCTACTGCCCCCTCGATCATGACTTCACCCCGACCACCAAACCATCATCTCTCAAACCATTCATAACTTCATCATCTCAGGTGACCTCCCACCCATATCTTTCCCCAGCCCCGCGCCACCCGTTTCTATCTCTTTCCCAAAATCCACAAACCTGCCTGCTCCTGCCCCACTGAATTTATCTCTGCTTTCCTTGACTCCGTTTCTTCCCCCTGGTCCAGGAACTCCCCACCTATTTCTGGGACACCACACATGCCCTCCACCTCCTCCAAATCCCTGGCCCCCAACACCTCATCTTCACTATGGACATCCAATCCCTGTAGACCTCTGCTTCTTCCTCTCCCGCAGGCCCAACCAGTCCCCCTCCACCAACACCCTCATCTGCTTAACAGAACTTGTCCTTACCCTGAACAACTTCTCCTTTAACTCCTCCCACTTCCTACAGACTAAGGGGAGGGCCATGGGCCTGCCTGCCTCTGTAGGATACGTGGAACAGTCCCTTTTCCGCTGTTGCACTGGCACTATCCCCCACCTCTTCCTCCGCTACATTGATGACTGTATCGGCGTTGCCTCGTGCTCCCACAAGGAGCATGAACAGTTCATCAACTTTACTAATACCTTTCACCCCAACCTCAAATTCACTTGGACCATCTCCAATGCCTTCCTCTCCTTCCTGGACCTCTCCGTCTCCATCCCACAGCTACCTGGATTACATTTCCACTTACCCACTCTCCGGCAAGAATGCGATCCCTTACTCCCAATTCCTCCGCCTCCACTGCGTTTGTTCCCAAGATGGAGCATTCCACTCCGAACATCTCAGATGTCCTCCTATTTCAAGGACCGCAACTACTCCCCTCCGGTGATCAAAAATGCCCTCAACTGCATCTCTTGCATTTCCCACACCTCTACCCTCACATTCCCTCCCCCCAACAAAAATAAAGAATCCCCCTTGTCCTCACATATCACCCCATCAATCTCTGCATCCAGCGTATCATTCTCCACCTACAATCCGACCCCACAACCAAAGAGATATTTCCCTCCCCACCCCTATCTGCGTCTCCCTCTTCTGCTCCACACTCCCCACTAACCCCACCACCCCTGGCACCTTTCCCTGCAACCGCAGGAAGTGCTACACCTGCCCCTACACCTCCACCCTCACCTCCATTCAAGGCACAAAACAAACCTTCCATATTAGACAGCGGTTCACCTGCACATCCGTCAATTTGGTCTACTGCAGCCGCTGCTCCCGATGTGGCCTCCTCTACATCGGGGAGACCAAGCATTGGCTCAGAGACCGTTTTGTAGAGCATCTGTGCTCTGTACACGACAAACAACAACACCTTCTGGTTGCCAACAATTTTAACTCCCCCTTCCACTCCCTGACATGTCCATCCTGGGCCTCCTCCAGTGTCACAATGAGACCACCCACAAACTCGAGAAGCAGCACCTCATATTCCGCCTTGGTAACCTATAGCCCGGAGGCCTAAACACGGAATTCACCGGTTTTAAAATTTCCCCACCCCAGCCTCATCCCATGACCAACCCTCCCCTGCTTCCTTGACCTGACACAACGTGTCCATCTTCTCTCCCACCTATCTGCCCCTCCCATCCCACTGACCAATCCCCACCACTCCCTACCTGCACTCACCTATCACTATCCCACCTATTTTCCCCAGCCCCACCCCTCCTCTCTCTATTTCTGAGCTCCCTTCACCCTCCCCATTTCTGAAGAAGGGTCCCAGCCCGAAACATCAACTTTCCTGCTCCTCTGATTCTGCCTGGCTTGCTGTGTTCCTCCAGCTCCATACCGTGTTGTCACTGTACCAGCTGTCATTTAAATCCATTTTACTTACTTATATTTCATTTACTATCATTATTGCTGCCTTCAACTTTCGCACAGGGTGCCTTCACAATCTGTTCTGCTTGTTCCTCCTCCCTGTCAGTCCACAGCATTAAAAAAACATTTTTAGCTCCTTTCAATACTGGAGAAATTAATACCACACTCAAAACATTAATTCTATTTCTCCTTCCACGGATGGTACTAGACCTGCTGAGTTTCTCCAGCACTGCGTTTTCTTTCTGTTCCAAAACCGGTGCTAGTGCCCCATGAACTGAAACCCACTCTTCCAACACCCATCTTTAAGACATGCATTTAACTCTTTGACTTTATTAACCCTGTGTCAGTTTGCTTTGGCTCAGAATCTTGGAATTTCTTATTTTTAGTTTAGCTCCTAACTGTTCAATATCAGAAGATAATTCAGCAGAACTCCTTTCCAGTCCTTTCAATATTGTTATTACCAACATTGCACAGCGAGAACTGGATCACTCCCCTCCCATTCCAAATTCCTCTCCAGCCTAAGATGTCCTTAACCCTGGCACTAGGCAGGCAATACAGCCTTTGGGACTCAAGCTAAGAAGAACAGTATCTATCCCATAACTGTACTGTTTCCCACTGCTCCTGTATTTCCATTTCCTCCACCCACATGAATGGCTCCCTGCACCATAATGTTGTTATTAGTTTGCTCATCCTTCCTGCAGTTTCCACTCTGGTTCAAGCTGATTTCAAAGACCTTATAACTGTTGGAGAATTGCATGAACTGAAGCCCCTTGAAAGCTGTATCTTGCTTCCCCATACCTGCCTCACCTAAAATCACACTCTTCTATTGCTGATCACAGACTAAATTTGAATGACCTAACAAAGTGTGTGACAGCTCCTGGAGCAAAGCCCTGGTAAATTTACCCTCTCTGACATGGTGCAATATCATCAGTAATGACAATTACAAAATTTAAAAGGAATCTGGGTGGGTACATGCATAGAAAGGGTTTAGATGGGCATGGGCCAAATGCTAGCAAATGGGAGTAGATAAATTTAGGATATCTGATCAGCATGGACGAGTTAGACCGAACGGTCTGTTTCCGTGCTGTACAACTCTATGACTTCAGCCCCTGATCCACTGTGCAGAATTACATAAAATATACGATATTTATTACCAAGAAATGCCATATTCAATAAACACAATGATCATCATGGAAATCCCTAATCACATATTCGATCAAACCCTCACCATTTCGTATAGTTTACACTTGATTCCCATCGTCTAAAGTTAGTGGGAGAAAAACCAACTGCCAGATTCTACAAATAAAACTGCGGCGATAGAACATGAGTGGTGCCTTTGAAAGAAAGGGGGACTAAAGCAAATACTTTTGTCGCCGGGACATAATCAATCCAGATATTAAGAAAAAAGATTGTTCCAAGACAAAAGCGGTTGGAAAATTCACACTAACTTGAACAGTGTTCATTCTTTAGTTTTTTTAAAAACATTACCGCAAACCCTGGGCCTTAAGAAGGCTGCTGCCCAGCTTGAGCGGCGGGCCTCGTTACTATTGACAACGCGGCCGCCGTGAGTCAGTGACGTGTACGCCTCCCCCCAAACACAAGGCCCTCACCTTCTCGACAGATGGTTTCTGGCTGTTTCGTGAAGTCTGCGCTTTCCCTCTCTCGTACAGAGTAGAGGGTGTCCTGGTCTTCGGATTTACGGGGGTTTTGATGCAGGAGGTAATGAGAACCGAGAACCGGTGGGGATTGTGCATCCCGTCAAGACTTCGCCGCCAACTCTTAGAGCAACGGTCAATCCACTGGTAGTGGATTAATATTACGGGGAGTCCGCAGGGCCAAAAATGGTCGTTTTTGGAGCGCGATTATTCCAATTCTGTTTTACCTTCCTCTACTGAGAAAGGCACAAGCTGATTGTAACGATGGCGAACCTATCAATATTCGTGTTAATTGATATATTTTCAAAAATGACAGCAGACTTTGGAGTGAAGTTAGGATGTTGATATCACGGATACGAGCTGAGTTAGCTGGACGGCTGCTTTGCGATGCACGGATGACGCCAACAGGGCGGTTCAATCCCCATACGGGTTGAGATTATCAAGAAGGTCCTGCCTTCTCAACCTCGCCTCAGGCGGTTTGACCTGTAAGGTAAAACAACACCAGTTGTATATTTGTAACTAGAAAGCAGCCCATTATCTGCGCCACTGCCAAGATCATTTCCACTTCCATAACATTGTTTGAAACAGCTAGTGTTGTATCTGAGATAACAAGGTGTAGAGCTGGATGAACATAGCAGGCCGAGGATCAGGAAGGCTTTCGGGCCTAGACCCTTCTTCAGAAAATCTCACCTGTTACTGCTGATTTAAACGGCCACTAACCCAATTACCCCCTTTCCTGTCCTGAGAAAATAGGGATCGTCATGTACTAGGACAGAATCAAGATCATCCGGCAGTTCTGTTATTTTCACCAGATCTCTGCTAAGGCAAAAATCCGAACCTAATTATTTTGACTTATCTAAATTGTAATATGAATCAGTATTTTAAAATCAGAAATTTGATAGATTTTCATTGCAGACACTGTTGAAAGAAAATGGAGCCAAATTGAACCAAGTAAGAAATTTTAATTTACAATTACAGGTCTGAAATCTTGATTTAATAAAACATTCAAACAAGTCTGGTATGTGACATTTTATTAAGTAATTTTAATTTAGTAATTTTAAAAACGTTTGAGTTAAAAATTACATTCTTTACTGATCACCCACTTTAATTGATCACATCCATACAAAGATGTCCTTAAATATTACTATCTGATCTCTCGGATTAATGGTTGTTGGGAATTTCATTTGTTGAAATTTCCTGATTATACATCATCTACTGAATCATCAGAAGCACTTTTTTTTTTCTCAGGAAAGAGTTGATAAACAAGAGGTAGACCAGATATGAGAACTTGCTGTTGGTTAGGGGCTGAACAGACCTAAGAATGGGAACTTGAACTTGATGGTGAATCTGTCAAGCCAATGGAAGAGAAGAACAATTTACTGTCGTTTGTACTTATGAAAGTACAGTGAGATGTTTATAAGTCGCCACAATTTGGTGCCATTTTATTTACAAAAATTATAAAAAGAAATAATTGAGACAAAGTTTATCTTTTGCTCCTGGATTTCTGAAGTGGCTATAGGACACCATTGCCAAAGCCACCCCTGAGGTTGCCAAAGCAAGGATTTCCAGACCGATTCCAATGCTGCCACTACCGAAGCCTGTGCTGAGGCCACTGCATCGCTGCCATAGCAAGGAGGGACAGACTGGACCCACTAAGTTGCCAACACAGAAACCGTCGCTCAAGCCATCGCCACTTCAGTCATTGCCCAAAACCACCACATTGCCGCCATAGTCAAAAGGAATGAACTGGAACCACCATGCCACCAGCACTATAGCCACTGCCACCAGGATTAATGGACCAGACCCACCAACAATGTTGCCTTTGATAAAGCCATGGCCACAAGGAACGGTCATCCGGATTCACCATGCTGCAGTTGCAGCAGCAGGCTCTCACTACTGCCGTCTTTCACCACATCCACAGTAAAGAAGTGAACTTTGATAAAAAAGAGAAATGAAGAAACAAAAAAAGAATACAGCCGGCCAGGTGAGTAGGAATGGGAGCGTATGGACACAGAGCCCAAACACTTCCATTCCTGCTATTGCCACCATCTTGAAAAAGAGTGTTCAATTTAATTCAGCACTCTGTCCATAAGATATTGGAGCAGAACTCAGCCATTCAGCCCATTGAGTCTGCTTCACCATTTGATAATGGCTGATCTGTTTCTCAACTCCTTTCTCCTGCCTTGATCCCCTTACTCATCAAGAAACTATCTATATCTTAAAGGCACTCAATCACTTGGCCTGCACAGCTGTCTGTGGCAACGTGTTCCACAGAGTCACCACCTTCAGGCTGATGAAATTCCTACTCATCTCGGTTCTAAAAGGCTGTCCTTTCACCCTGAGGCTACCTTTGCGGGTCATAGTCTCTCCTGCTTATGGAACATCTTCTCCACGTCCGGTCTATCCAGGCCTTGCAACACTCCTTCTCCAAATTTACTCAGGTTCCCCTCTCACCTTTCTAAACTCCATTGAGTACACATCACAAGTCCTTAACCTCATATCATATGATAAGCCCTTTATCTCCAGGGTCATTCTTGTAAACCTCCTTCAGACTCCCTGCAATACCAGCACATCTTTCTTTAGATATGGGGCACAAAACTCTCAATATTCTACATACAATTTGACCAGAGCGTGATACAGCCTCAGCCGTACATCTGTGTTCTTCTTTTCTAGTCCTCTTGAAATGAATGCCAATGTCGCATTTGCCTTCATAACCACCAGATTTTTATTTTCTTGAATTTCATTAATGGGATGAGGGCGTCGCTGGCTAGGCAGCATTTATTGCCCATCCCTAATCGTCCAGAGGGCAGGTGAGAGTTAACCACATTGCTGAGGGTCTGGAGTCACATGTAGGCCAGACCAGGTAAGGATGGCAGTTTCCTTCCCTAAAGGACATTAGTGAACCAGATGAAATTGCATGTTAACCTTAAGAGAATCCTGAACGAGGACTCCCAAGTCCCTTCGTGCTTCAGATTTCCAAAGCCTTTCCCCACTTTGAAAATAGTCTACGCCTCTGTTCTTCCTGCGAAAATGTACAACCTCACACTTTACCACATTGTACACCATCTACCAAGTTCTTTGCCCACTCAGCTAGCGTGTCTAAGTCCTTCTGCAGCCACCCCGCTTCCTCAACACTTATTTGTCCCTCCACTTATCTTTGTGTCATCTGCAAACCTAGCAACGATACCCTTGGTTCCTTTGTCCAGATCATGAATGTTTAATGTGAATAGTTGTGGTCCCAACACTGAACCAGTGGAACCTCACTAGTCACCAGCTGCCATGCTGAAAAAAAGCCCTTTATCTCTACTCTCTGCCTTATGCTAGTCAGCCAGTCCTCTATCCATACCAGTCCCTTGCCCCTAGGCCTTCTGGAAATTCAAATGGATCATGTCCACTGGCTCTCCTTTGCCTAACTTGCATGTTACTGCCTCAAGAATTCTAACAAATTTATTAGACATGACCTCCTCTTGATGAAGCCATGCTGACTCTGCCCTATTTGACCATGCACTTCCAAGTACTCTGCAATCTCATCCTTAATAATGGATTGTAAAATCTTACCAACCACCGAGATCTGGCTAACTGACCTATAGTTTCCTGTATTCTGCTTTCCTCCCTTCTTAAACAGAGGCGTTAAATTAAAGTGTTCTGGAACCCTCCCTGACTCTAGCGATTCCTGAAAGATCACCACTAATGCCACTACAATCTCCTCACTTATTTCTTTCAAAACACATAACAAAAGAATCTCCTTCAGAACCCCGAGATGTAGTTCATGTGATCTGGGTGATTTATCCACCTTCAGTCTTTTCAGCTTTCTCAGTACCATCTCCTTAGTGATGGGAACTACACTCACCTCTCTTCCCGACTGTCGAAGTTCTGGTATGTTGTTGGTGTCTTCCTCTGTGAAAACTGACGCAAAGTACCTATTCAAGTCCTCCACCACTTCTTTGTTCACCTTTACAACTTCTCAATCCTCATTTTCCAGTGGTTCAATGTCCACTCATGCCTCTCTTTCTTTGTAGATATCTAAAAAAAACTTCTCTCATATTTCATCTTTTTCCCCCTCCAACACAACTGAGACTGCAACTGCATATGTACAGGAAATGCTCCCCATTTTCTTGCAGCACAGCCGAAGATTACATCAATATGGATATACAACTTCGGTATTGTAGGGATGAAGACAATGTTGGGGTACAACAATAGAAGTTTCACTTTTCTCTGTGAATCTAAGGTCCAGGTGATGATACAGGTCAAATTGTGCTGTCAAATTAATAGCAAAATTAATATTTATACCCTTTTAATTGCAGAAGTCACTGCAACTTCTGGCGAGGGCACATGTGCAAATCACAAACTGCTGTCCAGTTGGCTCCAGAACATGCTGTTCTAAGAAACTACCCTGAAAGCATTCCCTGAAATTCTTATGTAGTTACCTTTGCCCATCTGACTTTTCTGGTCTATATGTGGATGAGCAGATGGCTTAGGATGAGTGTGGCATACCATGATAACAGTTCTCCTAATATGAGTTGCTACAAGCTAGTAAGGCAAACCTGGGCGGACTTATATTGTTAGTGATTGGACCCTGGGGAATGTTCTGACCACTGGAGGCAAGCGTGCCAAATGCCTTCTTCACTATCCTGTCTACCTGCGACTCCACTTTCAAGGAACTGAGCACCTAAACCTCTGTTTTGGCAATACTCCCCTATTAACTACCTAAATCTTGCCCTGGTTTGCTTTCTACAGTTTTCTTCAATTTGCCCACACGGCTGTGTTTTGACTTTGCTCAGAGCAATGTGGACATTTTCTCCCTTTCATGCCTTCATTAACACCCATTTGACATTTCAATCGCTCCTTCACCACAATTAACAACCTCTGCCTTTGGGTCTGGCACCCTCACCACCTGTTCCCCTCATTCTTACTCCCCCTCTGTTTACAACATAAAAAGCATTTTCCAGCATCTTCAGTTCTGAACAAGAGTTAGACCAGATTGTAGACAGTAACTGTTTCTCTCTCCACACAAGTTTCTTGATCCAGTGACTTCCTCCAAGCACACTGTTTTGACTACATTACCCATGCTGCTTGTGTAGTGAGGGCTGCAGCTCAGTGTCGGACAGAGCTTGGTCCACAGCGCCTCACAAGAGTTATAGTTGAGATGCACGCACTCATACTCCGCTGCGGTTGGTGGCCAATGTCCGGGTGTTCGAATATGAGTAGGAATACCCAAGTGGCTGTCACGTAGTGTGGATGGAAGTGGATGAGCGCCTCTGTAATTACTGAGCCAGGACGGGAGGGGCAGAGTTTATAGACTTACAGACCCCCCTCAATCAACATCCTCCCTGCACTAATGCCACCCATTCCCATAACAAACATTCTCCCTCTCCCTCCACCAACGTCCCCCTCCACCAACGTCCTACCCTCCCTCAACCAACATCATCCCTACCTCCACCAATGAACCTCTCCACTAACCTCCTCCTCTCCCACCACCGACATCCTCCCTCTCTCCACCAACAATTCTGGTCTCCTTGCTATAGCAAGGATGTTATGAAATTTGAAAGGGTTGAGAGAAAATTTATAAGGATGTTGCCAGGGTTGGAGGGTTTGAGCTATAGGGAGAGGTTGAATAGGCTGGGGCTATTTTCCCTGGAGTGTCGAAGGCTGAGAGGTGACCTTATAGAAACTTATAAAATCATATGGGGCATGGATAGTGTGAATAGCCAAGGTTTGGGGAGTCCAAAACTAGAGGGCATAGATTTAAGGTGAGAGCGGGGAAGATTTAAAAAGGACCTAAGGGGCAACCTTTGTCATGCAGAGGATGGTGCATGTATGAAATGAGTTGCCAGATGTGGTAGTGGAGGCTGTACAATTACAATATTTAAAAGGCTTTATGAATAATAAGGGGTTAGAGGGATATGGGCCAAGTGCTGGCAAATGGGACTAGATTAATTTAGGTTATCCGGTTGGCATGGATGAGTTTGACTGAAGGCTCTGTTTCTATGCTATACAGCTCTATGACTCTGTAACAGGCACCCCTTCCTCCACCAACACACCCCTCCTCCTGTATAAACTCTCCCACTCTTCTCCATCGACTCCTTCCACTAAAGGGTCTCCCCACAGTCAAATGTGGTCATTATTCTCCAGCCCCACTGCAAAGTTACAGAGATGCTGGCTGAAAATCTTCTGCCTATCACCTGTTCACACTGGGAATCTCAGTTTAGAAAGCTGGAACATCCCAGCTGTTCATACTGAGATGCTCAGTTTAGACAGCTGTGCCATCCCAGCTGTTCTTACTGAGATTCCCAGTTTAGAGAGTCACTTTCCTTCTGTGAATGTCTGTCAGTTTATAGGCATATTTGTGTGGGGATATGAGAATTGATACAGAAGGTGGTGTTGGAGCATTACATATCATGCTCCATACAGTATTCCTTGAGTGACATTGTGACACAGTATTTATCCTCCCCCCGCAGGCAACTCTAGTGATGTTGGTTGTCAGGTTCCGAGCCTTGAGGGTACAGTTTAGTTTAATGCTTATCTTGCGCTTATCTTGAATCCACAAAGTGCATGTTCATTCGAATACACTGGATACGGACATACAATGATCTGATTGATCTGTTCACAGTTGCTCAGAGTAATCCCCACCAGTCTTTCCCCCTTCTCACCTGTAGATGGTCAGGTGTCCATATTCCATCCTGTCTTGTCCTATAAACAGTAGCTAGGTTGTTGATCAGGTCTCTTTTCCTGCGAATACTTGGGGCTTGTCTAGGATTGCCTTTGTACTTCCCTGTTCCCAGTCTCAAGACTCTCCAAGTCAGGAGCAGGTACAGCTTAAGTGGGGAAAGGCATCACTTTGATAGTTAGAGATAACAAGGTGTAGAGCTGGATGAACACAGCAGGCCAAGCAGCTTCAGAGGAGCAGGAAAGCTGACGTTTCGGGTCTAGACTTCAGAAATACTTTGATAGTTAGAATTCTTTTATATCCACTATCACAGGCAACAATTTGTGATGGATGTTGTCAAACAGGATCTTACCTGTGGGTTTTAATACGTCCATTCAGTGGACCACCTTGGGTGATGACAGGACAAGCGGAGGGGGGTGGGGGGGGGTTAGGATGGGGTCCCTCACTGCTGGTTTTAGTTTGCTTTTAATCTCATATTGTAAGAGCTCTCCCTGATTTGGCTTCCTTGGACATTGATGCCTGTTTCTAATCTCTTCTGTGGGATGTGGCCTAAGCAGCCTATCTCTGTGCACCCATTTGTAGAAAATGCCCACCAATCCTCTATAACGCCTATCCTCATACAACAAACGGTGGAACTCTCATTGGATTTCCTGTGCACAGTGAGTTAGTTATTACCACCCCCAAAGTGACCGTTTTTGCCAGGTGAACCCACAGAATCCCATCCTCACATACTGCCACATTCAATGGATCAAACCGCAGATACCCTGGGCACCTGGGCTTCCCATGTGATCGCACAATACCACAGCTATATAAATAAATACACACACACCAAAAACTATACAGATATAGGAGAATATGTTGAACGCAGTCCATGTGGTCACTTGTAAATTTCTTTGAGGTAGGCGACTTGGGGGAAAAACAAACAAGTGTAGTTTCCGTGAATTTCAAGGTTTAATCTCTGAGTCTCTTTGTCATTCATAGAATCAGAATTCTTACAGCGTGGAAGCAGGCCATTCGGCCCTTCAAGGCCACACCAACCCTCCAGACAGCATCCCACCCCCGTACCCTATCCCGTAACCCTGCATTTCCCATGGCTAATCCACATAGCCTGCACATCATGTGGAAACTATGGCAATTTAGCATGGCCGATCCATCTAACCTACCCATTTCTAGACTAAGCAATCACACAACACCAAGTTATAGTTCAACAGGTTTATTTAAAATCACAAGCTTTCGAAGCACTGCTTTGTCATCAGGTGAAGTCGAGAGAAGCACACAGACACAGAATATATGTGCGAAGAGATAATGGCAAAATAATTCCAGGTCATTAAAAGTGTCAACAGATAAGTACAAATAGTGAGAGTACAATGCCAACAGGCTGAATAACAAATCTTTGCAGGTAATCAAGACTGTCAACAGATTAATACAAATGGTGTGAGTAAATTGTCAACAGCTGAATAACAAGTAAAGGGATGACCTATGAACTGATTATTAAGGCAGAGAGATAATTACAAATAATCGAAAGTAAAATGGTGCTAGAGACAAATCAATTGACTGGAATATCATGAGTATCACAGAGTCATAGAATCCCTACAGTGTGGAAGTAGGCCATTTGGCCCATCAAGTCTACAACGACCCTCCGAAGAGCATCCTACCCAGACCCTGTATCCATGCATTTCCATGTATCCATGGCTAATCCACCTAGCTTGAACATCCCTGGACACTATGGGCAAATTACCATGGCCAATCCACCTAACCTGCACTCCTTTGGACCGGAGCACCTGGAGGAAACCCACGCAGACATGGGGAGGATGTGCAAGCTCCACACAGACAGTCGCCCAAAGCTGGAATCAAACCCGGGTCCCTGGCACTGTGAAGCAGCAGTGCTAATAACTAAGCCATCGTGCTGCCCTGTTCATTTTATTGAACAGAAAATTTTAAAGATTACAATCCCAGTGAGTAGATATCGGAGTCGCATGATGAGAATCTAACAAAAGTAACAAGTAATCAAAAACTGTACAAACTAATTAAGGCAGAGAGATAATCACAAGTAATCAAGGTAATGGTGTCAAAACAGGACAGTTAGGTAGATTTTACAAACACAGAAAAGCATGGTGGAGTTACATGTAGCACAACATGACATCTTTGGACCTTGGGAGGGAACTGGAGCACCTGGAGGAATGCCATGCAAACATGGGGAGAATGTGCAAACTCCACATAGACAGTCGACAGAGGGTGGAATCGAACCCAGGTCCCTGCTACTGTGAGGCAGCAGTGCTAACCACTGAGCCACTGTGCTGCGCTGTTCATTTTACTGAACAGAAATTTTAAAGATTAAAATCCTATTAAATTTTAGAATCCAGATGCCATTATCCATCTCATTTTAAGATTCAAATCAGCGCCATCACTAAATTGATCTCATGCTTCTGTCTAGATCATAAGCAAACCTGCCAATAAAGAAACAGCTCAGTTAATAACTTGATGTGCAAGGTGCTGAAAAATACCTGTATCATCCATTCCTTGCCTTTATGTAGTTCACCTCCAATATTTTGCTTCCTTTCCATTCCTCACGTTCTCTATCCTATTTTTGGGGATAGGCTGGCGATCAACATCTACTTCAAATCTAGTGACTCTCTCTGCTACATTGATTACACTTGCTCCCACTGTGCTTGCTCCAGGGACTCTGTTCCACTCTATAATCAGTGCTTCCACTATTGCTTTCATTTTCCTCCAGGACTGCACTATTCTGGTTGACACAGCCCTTGATAATGTAAGTGCCAATTCCCTGAATTTTTACTCCCTCACTTTCCTATCTTTCACAGACCCAGAATTGGGTTCCCTTCATTCTTACCTGCTACCCCCACAAGCCTGATGGATACCATTAAATTGGGCACCAAGGTAGTGATATTGCCCTTTGTTCTTTCCCCGAACAGCCCATGCTGCAATTGTATTAGTGACGGATGACATCAGGCATAAATGCTACCTATGTTCCACTGATGAGCAGGTGGCTGAGCAAGGGGGTGCTGCCTCTTTTATGGGCCTCCTAATGGTTATTGCTGGCACCCCCTGCAAGATATCCCACTACCCTGATGGAGGCAGTAAACGTGTTGTATTTGGACATCCAGAAGACATTTGACAAGGTACCTCACGAAAGGTTAAGTCATAAGATAAGAGCCCATGGTGTTGGATGTGGTATTGTGGTGTGGATAGAGAATTGGCTAATGGACAGGAAACAGCTAGTGGGGATAAGGGGTTTTTTTTTAGGTTGGCAACCTGGAACCAGTGAGATTCCATAGGGATCTGTGCTGGGCCTGCAACTGCTTACAATATTAATGACTTGGTGAAAGAAAGCGAATGTACTCTAGCCAAATTTGCAGATGGCACAAAAATAGGTGGAAAGACAAGTTGTACAGGGCATACAGACAGTTTACAGAGAGATATCGATACGTTAAGTTAGTGGGCAAAAGATTGGCAAATAGAGTACAATGTCGAAAATGTGAAGTTATCCATTTTGGAAGACAGAACCAAAGAATAGAATATTATTTAAATGGAGAAAAGCTGTAGAAAGCTGCACACAAAGGGACTTGGGGATATTTAATAACAAAACACAGAGTTACTACAAAGGTGCAGCAGGTAATCAGGAAATGGGATGTTGGACCTTATTTCAAGGGGGTTTGGAGTATAGAGCAGGGAAATCTTATTGCAACTATACAAGTAATACAGGAATACTGAGAGCCATTTTAGTCCCCTTATTTAAGGAAAGATATAGTTTCACTGGAGGCAGCTCAGAAAGGCTCATTAGGATGATCCTTGGTATGGCAGGTTTGTCTTATGAGCAAATGTTAACCAGATTGGGATTCTACTCACTGTGCAGTTTAGAAGAATGAGAGGTGATCTTACTGAAATGGATTCTTAAGGGGCTTGACAGGATAAATACTGATTGAGGATGTTTCCCCTTATGGAAGAATCTAGTACCAGACAGCATAGTCTCAGAATAAAGGGGTACCAATTTAAGACTGAGATAAGGAGAAATTTCTTCTCTCACATGGTTGAAAGTCTTTGAAGCTCCTTGCCACAGACAGCTGTGGGGGCAGAGTCCTTGTATATATTTAAGGCTGAGATAGATTCTCAATCCATAGGGGAATCAAGGGTTACAGGGAAAAGGCAGGAAAATGAACTTGAGGAATGTTGGATCAGCCATGATCCTATTGAATGGCGGAGCAGGCTCAAGGGCCTGACCAGCCTACTCCTGTTCCTATTTCTTCTTGTCTATTGTTTCCCCTCTGCACTGCCCATTCGATTGGCTGGCAGCTTTCCAAGGCAGGACCTTCTTCCTGACGGGGAAGCAAGTCTCACCTCAAGCCAATTAAAAGACTCATTAAATGGTTGTGGAGTGAGCTGGTTTGGATGAAGTCAAGTTCACAACCTACTAAGTACTTTCAGAATGTTGGTGATGTGCCTGAAAACTGGACTCCTTCTACTTCCCAGAAAACATAGTACAGTCCTTTGAGCTATTTGATATGGTAAGCATTTATTTATTCACAGTGCAAAACTAACATCAGAAATTGTAGAGATTCCATCTGCTCATTATATTTTGCTTAAAAAACTGCACATTGTACAACCAGAAAATCATAAGCTCTCAATATTCAGAAAGTAAGGTGAGGCCACATCACAGAATACTTATGTTAGTTTTTAAACAGAAAAGGTTACCTTTATGAAGGTTGGCACCATGTCCATATAGCATGAATTTCAGGGGCTTCCTTAAAACCAAGCTTCTGAAATAATTGGTACGACCTGCTATTTTCATCTTCAATGAAGCAATATATAGGATATCCAAGGTTTTGCAGAACTTTCACCATTTTGGTCACTAGTAACTTGGCATAGCCCTTCCTGCGATGCTCTGGTAGAGTGTACAGTAATCCCATTGCGCCATACGGATAGGTCAGCAGCCAGGAAACAGGATTATCAGTTTCATCTAGAATGCAGTAGCTGGGGAAATTTGCAATAATATTTTTCACAAATTTGAGACCGGTATCATCCATTCCAAACTTCCAATTTCTGTTTACTATCTCTGCATGTGACATGTCTAGAGGACTTATTCTGGAAGCAACATAAGCCCTTCAAAAACAAAAGAAAATAAGTGGGTATAAATTTGGTCTTATCATGATTAACATGTAATTTCTTCAGAAATGAAAATGCTCAGGTTTTAGCAACCAATGTAAGCATAAAGTACCTTCAGGTCAGATGTGGTAAAAGTAAAGAATAAAGACACAAAAATGCAATCTGAGGATATATATCGCTGTCCAAGCATAACCTGAACATCTTTGTATCAATCATTCTAGTGTTTTAAGTGAGATTATTAATTTAGAACTAAATTGGAGTTAAATAATAGTTGATTTTCTGCCTAAGCCCAGTATCAGGATCTTCACAGTCAGCAGAAAGAGGAGACCTGCATCTTATCAATTTTCACGGCCTTCAGCTCGTGTCGCACGAGACAGCAGCTGTTGGATGTGAAGTAATGCACCTGAACCAGATGTTTCTGAGTCTGGCATTGCATGAAATATGTTAATCTTGTCATTTTTAACCTGATGTTTAGCTTTAATAATTTTTTTGTCTTAAATTAATGCTTTCTGGTTGTCTATTTTGAGGTATCTCACGTCAGTGGAGATGTTCTCCATTATGGTCACATTTGGAGACTATGTTGGTTTTCAATCTTAAATTCACTAAAGTGTATGTCTTTGAGGGAAAAGAGAATGCTGGGAAAATTGCATGGCTCAAAAATGGGGTAATGCCTTCTTTTTCTATCTGTTCAATTTCACAAGGCTCAAATAGATTATGCAAGTATTAAAATTTCTAATGATTCAAATAAACCAAATGAAACGTAAAAGTGAACTTGTTGAACACAAAGTCCAAAACACCAGTTCTATGTTGCTACTGTTAAGATTCCAGTGAATATTCAGAGGCATTTGCTCAACTGCTTGGTTTTCACTAATCAAACAGTGGAACTGACAAGCTGTAAAAGATATTTGTTCTTTCAAGTGATTTAAGGTATGTTCGACTGAAAGACAGAACTATTCAGTTTAAAACAAAATACATACAATTTCATGAACAAAAATTTCATTCCTGGGAGGATTACCTGAAAATTGGTTTTCAGCAGATGCATGGTATTTCATTGTTGGTGGTAGAGATTTTGTCTGCCAGTGTTATTTTCTGAGATTTTTACTCCACTTTCATTCTTTTGGAACCTTCTCAAGGCCCTATTCAGCCTAACTTTCAGGCTCCCCTTATCATTTCTCATGTTAACTATTTATTTCCTTTCTTATTTCAATTTTTGAAGCAACTCAGGATGTGTTCTAAAAGGTCCAATACAATGGGAAATTGAGTTTGCCTTCATTGGTCAGAGCATTGAGTATAGGAATTGGGACATCATGTTATGGCTGTACAAGACATTGGTGAGGCCACATTTGGAGTACTGTACACATTTCTGGTTGCCCCTCTGTGGGAAGGATGTTATTAAACTGGAAAGGGTGCAAAAAAGGATTTACAGGGATGTTACCAAGACTGCAGGGTTTGAATTATAAAGAGAGGTTGGATAGCCTGGGAATTTTTCCCCTGGAGTATAGGAGGCTGAAGGGTGACCATATAGAGGTTTATAAAATTATGAGGGGCATAGATAAGGTGAATAGCCAAGATCTTCTCCCCAGGGTAAGGGAGTCCAAAACTAGAGGGCATAGGTTTGAGGTGAGAAGTGAAAGATTTAAAAGGGTCCCGAGGGGCAACTTTTTCACACAGAATGTGGTGTGTGTGAGGAATTAACTGCCAGAAGAAGTTGTAAAAGCAAGTACAATTACAATATTTAAAAGACATTTGGACAGGTACATATATGTTTTATTGCTTTTTGTAAGCCTGAAATTGTAAGTACATGAGTATTTGAGGTATTTGAAAGTTTAAGTTGCATAAATTAGAAATGCTTTCTTTTCTCTGGTAAGTGAATTACAATAAATAGTTATTTTTACTATTACTGAAGCAATCTGATGAGAGTTGCTTTTGTCTGGGTAGCAGTTATTCAGGTAAATTGGTCAATTTTTTGGCCTTGTTGGGATTTTCAACATTTATAAATTTTACTTGTGGACAAGTTGGGAATGATTATGGGCATATTTTCCCCAGTTAAATCATAACAGAACATCATCTGTAGAGGAACCGAAGCCATAATGCAGCAAAGAAGAGAATGTCAATGTCAATGCCAGAATGTGACTCTGTCTGACTTCACTGCAGTTCTCAAATGGTTCTGGTGTTACCCTGGCATTGCTAACCTGTTGTCATGTTGTCACGGAAACGGTAAATCACATTCAGCAGTTTTGGCAATTATCCAATTTTCTTCCACAGTTTATTTTAAATAGTTTGTCTTTGTTTACATGGTGAAATGCTTTAGTGAGATTGATGAAGGTAACCTGTATTTTGTTCACAGCATTTTCTCATGCAGCTGCAGGACTGAGAAGATTGTGAAGAGTGAATCTTCTAGTTCTGAAACTAAAATTAATTTCAGGATAGAAGCATTCAGGATGTGCAGTAAAAGCTGGCCATTTCAGTTCCACATCCCACTTTGCCCATAGTCATGCAAATTAAATCCCTTCCAATTAAATTTGGTTTGTGGTGAAGCACTGCAAATTTGAGCAGCTGTGGATACAAATCCACAACCAACACTGACTGGAACTTTAATCCAGCCTTATACTGTTTGGCCACAGTATTCCAATTAGACTATTTCTAGGGAATGTCACAAATCAAGTCTTGTTTGGGATCAGTTTTATTGTTTTAATGTTACAAATTAGTATCGATTTTTCAAAGAGGTCTCCAATTGGGCATTTCTGGTGGAGAATGTGTTATTTGTATCCAGTTGCCCAATAGCATGCAGAAACCACCTAAGTGTCAGAAATCAAATTATTCAAATGATGTGATTACACTTCCAGTCCATTTTTAATCTGATTTTGACAATTCACTAAGAAGATGGGAAGTAAAAAGAGGAAGGCAGATGATGATCTGGTTGTTAAGTGTTCAGTGCAATACTGTCTGTCTACTAAAGAGAAAGCAGGGCCTTCATAATTGCAATAGCGTCAGCACAGAAGATCTATTCAAGCTATACAGTCATAGAATTATACAGTATGGAAACAGACCCTTCAGTCCGAATCATCCATGCCAACCAGATATCCTAAATTAACCCAGTTCCAATTGTCAGCATTTGGCCCATATCACTCTAAACCCTTTCTATTCATGTACCCATCCAGATGCCTTTTAAGCCTTGTAATTGTACCAGCCTTCACCAACTCCCCTGGCAGCTCGTGTCATACACGCACTATCCTCTGCGTGAAAAAGTTGCCCCTCAGGTCCCTTTTAAATCTTTTCCCTCTCACCTTAAACCTACGTCCTCTAGTTTTGGACTCCCTTACCTTGGGAAAAAGAACTTGGCAATTCACCCTATCCATACTCATTATGATTTTATAAATATCGATAAGGTCTCCCCTCAGCCTCTGACTCTCCAGGAAAAGAAGCCCCAGCCTATTCAGTCTCTCCATGTAGCTCAAACTCTCCAATCTCAGCAACTTCCTTGTAAATCTTTACTGAACCTTTTCAAGTTTAACAACACCTTTACTATAGCAAGAAGACCAGAATTGAACACAGTATTCTAAAAGTGGCCTCACCAATGTCCTGTACAGCCGCAACATGACATCCCAACTCCCACACTCAACACACTGACGAAAGAAGGCAAACGTGCCAAACACCTGTGACTCCACTTTCAAGGAACTATTAACCTGCACTCCTAAGTCTCTTTGTTCGGCAACACTCCCCAGGGCCCTACCATTAACTGTACAAGTCCAGCCTAAATTTATCTAACCAAAATGTAACACCTCAAACTTACCTAAATTAAACTCCACCTGTCACTCCTCGGCCCATTGGCTCATCTACTCAAGGTACCGATGTACTCTGAGATAACATCTTCACTGTCCACTACACCACTAATTTTGGTGTCATCTGCAAACTTATTATAGTTGATAGTGTTTTACAAGATCCTATTGGCAAGTGACATGGTTACTGTGATACCACTACATTATATTACGATCCCCTTGCTTTATTTGGAAGGGAAATAGATCAACCGTGAATCACTGCTTGAGAATAAAAACCTACACGAGGAATAAAACATAGGTACTCAGTAGGAAACAGTAAAAGAGGAGAGAAACAAACCGTTGATAAGCATATCTCTCTAACATTTCTCTTTTGTTTCCTCCCCCACACCACAACCACTCCATCAAAAATAATGGGCTAGTGATCACCTACTAGTTGTGTCCCAATGATATTCTTTACCTAGCTGTCAGTAAGTGAGTACATGAATGTAAAATGATACTTAGTCATTTTGATTAATTTCTTTCTCCTTTCATCCCACAGGTCATGGCTTTAGAACATCACCGTACTTGGAAAGAAGTAGCATCCCATTATGCTGGTACAGAAAACTGCAGCATTTGTGAGAACAACACTGCTGTAATTTTTATGTGCTATAGAAAGTTTGAGCCTACTGTTCTGAGGTGATATCAAGGAGGTCCTTCGGATCTTGTAGTACCATTGTGTAGGAACTGGATGTGAAGCTTATTGTAGATTTTTTGCAAGCTGCAACAGCCTTCATTAGTTCAAGGAAATTCCTGTCAATCCCTTAAGAGAAACAGAAAAAGGAAACTTGAGTAATTGCTCTTCAGACTGTACAACAGCACAATACATAAGCAGATGCATAAGTTGGTAGAGATTTGAAAGGTGCTGTCAAAGGAACCTTGGTGAATTACAGCACTGTATCTTGTTGATGGTACACACTACCACCACTGTGCATTTGTAGTGAAGGAAGTTGAGGTTCTAGTCAAACAGACTATTTAGTTTTAGATGGTGTTAAGCTTCTTGAGTTTTGTTGGATCAGTACCCATTGAGGAAAGTCGGGGGGGCGGGGGTACAGTCATTTCTCTGTATCTGTGAGGGCTCCATTCCAAAGAACCTCCACGAATGATGAAATCTGTGACTCTGGAGCTCATTAAAAATAAGTTAAATTTCGCAGATATGTCAGTTTTGTCTGCAGATGTTGATTTTTGTTGTTACTTACTTTTTGGCAAATTCGCGATATGTGATTTTGCAGATGCAGAGGATTTACTGTATTTCACCACATTCCTGGCTTGTGCCTTGCAGATTTTGCATGAGCATTGGGAAGACAGGACGACATTTACTTGCCACAGAATTTCTAGCTTCTGACCTGCTCTATTATTTATATGGCTGGTCCAATTCAGTTTATGGTCAATGGTAACCACTGGGATGTTGGTAGTGGGGCATTCAGCATTAGTAACACCATTGAACAGTCAAGCAATGATGGTTAGATTGTCTCTTATTGGAAGTGATCATTGCCTGGTACTTGTGTGATGCGAACGTTACTTTACACTTGTTATTCCAAGCCTGGACATTGTCCAGCTCTAGCTGCATTTGGACACAGACTACTTCGGTAACCAAGGAGACACAAATGGTACATATGGTAGATGCCAGTGTTTAGTTGTACTGGGGCAGCTTGGCTAGGGACTTGGCTAATTCTGGAGCACAAGTTTTCAGTACTATTGCTGAAAGTTGTCAGGGCCCAAAGACAATGTAGTGTTTTGTGTTTTCTGCCATTTCCTGACATCATGTGAAGTGAACTGAATTGAATTGAATTGGTTCAAGACTGGCATTGGTGATGTTAGGGGCAACGAGAGGGGGCTGAGATGGATGTAAATTCTTTAGCCTTGTCTTTGCACCAATGTACTTGGTTGTTTCTTCATTGAAGGCAAGGATATTTGTGGAGCCTCCTCCTCCAATGAGTTGTTTAATTGTCCACCATCTTTTACAACTAAATCTGGGCAGGACAGCAGACTTTACATCTGATCTGCTGTTTATGGAATTGCTTAGTCCTGTCTGTTGCTTTGCACGGTTTGGCATGCAAGTTGTCCTCTGTTGTAGCTTTACCAGGTTGGCAACTAATTTTAGGAATGTCTGGTGCTCTTTATATGCTCCCTACACTCTTCATGGAACCAGGATTGATCTTCTGCTTGGTGGTAATGATAGTAAGGGTGAGGGGGGCAAGATAGACCAGGCCAGTTGGTTAGAGGATTGTGTTGGAGTACAATTCTGCTGTTGATGGCCCACAGCACCTCATAGATGCCTGAGTCTGGAGTTGCTGAATCTGTTCAAAGTCTGTCCCATTTAGCATGGTAGTAATGTCATATAACATGTTGGAGCTTATTCGCAACCTCATAAGAGAATTTTGTCTTCATAAAGATTGGGCATAGGGTATTCCTACTGATTCTGTTTTGGAACAGCTGCATCTGTGGCATGCAAACTGGTGAGTGCAAGGTTAAATATGTTGGTTCCCTCACAATGTCCTTTAGGGCTTGAATAGGAGTGGTACTACTGAGCTACTCTTGGTGATGGACATAGAACGTACTCTGGGTGGGAGAATTCAATGTCCTTGCCACCCTCAGTGCTTGCTCCAAGTAGTATTCAACATCGAGGAGTACTGACATCAGCAGGCAGTTTCATGGCCCACGTGTGACTTTATACCCGTGCAATTTCATGAGATCCCGTATCACTGTTGTGGACTCCCAGGCAACGTTGTTCCATCTGTAATCAATTATGTCAACACCTCTGTTGGCTCTGTTCTGCTGGCAGGTTAGGAGATACCCAGGGATGGTGAGTGTGGGCTGGGGACTTACACAATGTCAGGCCATTCTTTGACTAGTTTGTGGGACAAATCTCCAAATTGTCCCAGCTGTTGTTCAGGAGGACTTTGCAGGGTAGACAGAACTGTTGTTTCTGTGCCTTGGTCAACACCAGTTGGCCCGGCCAATTTCACTGTAGTGATTAGATATAACTAAGTGATGTGCCTGGCCATTTCAGAGAGCAACTGAGAGTCAACTATATTGCTGTACATCTGCAGCCACATATAAAGACTGATCTGGTGATTTCAGACAGCAGATTTCCTTCCCTAAATGACATTAACAAACCTGACGGGTTTTTATGACTATTGACTATAGTTACATGGGTGCTATTAGGCTAGGTTTTTAAATCCAGGTTTTACTGAATTCTAATTTCACCATCGCCATGACATTAGAACATTAACTTTATTAGCCAATCCACAGTACCACTTCAGCCACTGCCATCAGTCCAGTAAGTGTGTCAGTGCTGTCTCCAGGTAGCAACCTAAACCGGAAAGCTTCATCAACTTTTTTCCCCCTCCAATTTTCACTCTACACTTGATTTCACATGCTCCAACTTCAATCTTCCCTTTCTTCTTTTCTGGGAATGGACTGTCATCAAATAATCACCATAAGCTCACTAACCCCTTCAACTACATCACCAATGCTTCCACAAATCCTTATTCCTGACAGATTTCATTCTACCAGTTTCTCTGCTGCATCTGTTCTGTGCTTGCATACCAGCATTTTTGATGTAGCTTCCTTTGCCCTACATCTAAGGGCCCCACTCAAAACGTGCTCGACAGGGTCATCAAACACGTGCTTCACATTTTCCACATCTCGTTGAAAGTGGCCATGCAAGTAGATAGGGTGGTAAAAAAAAAGACGTGTGGCACGCTTGCCCGTATGGGTCAGGCACTTGAGTACAAGAGTCAGGATGTTATGTTATGTTCGGTTAGGCTACACTTACAGCATTGCATTCAATTCTGGTCACCATATTACAGGAAGGATGTGGTGGCTTTGGAGAGTGTACAGAAGTAGTTTACCAGGATGTTGCCTGGATTAGAAGGTATGAGCTATTAGGAGAGAAGAGAAAACACCTGTTTTCCTACCGAGTGGCAGAGGCTGAGGGGAGACTTGATAGAAGCCTATAAAATTATGAGAGCCATAGATAGGGTTGATGGTCAGAATCTTTCTCCTAGAGTTGAAATGTCTAATTCTAAGGGCATGCATTTACGGCGACAGCGGGTAAGTTCAAAGGAGATGTAAGGGGCAAGTTTTTTTTTATACAGGAGTGTGTTAGGAGTCTGGAACGCACTGTCAGGGATGGTAGTTGAGACAAATACAATAAGGGCATTTAGGGGACTTTTAGATAAGCATATGAATAAGTAAGGAACAGAGCGGTATGGACCAAGGGCAGGCAGAAGGGATTAGTTTCATTTGGTGTCATGTTCGGGGCAACATTGTGGGCCGAAGGTCCCATTCCTGTGCTGTACATTCCCATGTTCTATTTTTGTTCTCAGCCTTTCCTCTTCCTCCCAGAACCACAATAGGGTTCCCTTTGTTCCACCCACAAGCCTCCATAGTGAATGGATCATCTTCACCTATTTCTGCCACCGCCAGCAGGATGCTCTCCCTAAATTTCGAGAGGCAATGGCCTAGTGGTATTAAATCGCTGAACTGTTAATCCAGAGACCCACAAAATGTTCTGGGAACCTGGATTCAAATCCCACCAAGGCAGATGGTGGAATTTGAATTCAGTAGAATATCTGGAATTAAGAATCTAATGATGACCATGAATCCATTGTTGATTGTTGGAAAAACCCATCTGGTTCACAAATCTCCTTTAGGGAAGGAAACTGCCATGCTTACCTGTTCTGGCCTACATGTGACTCCTGACCCATAGCAATGTAGTTGACTCTGAACTGCCCTCTGGGTGATTAGGGATGGCAATAAATGCTGCCTAGCCACTGACACTCTTATCCCATTAATGAATAATAGAAACGAAGCTTTTCCTTTTCAGCATTGTGAAGCACTCCTCAATCGTTTCAAACACTCCCTCACCTCCTTATGCAAGTGCAGGAAATGCAAGACTTTCCCTTTAACTTCCTCTCTTTTCACTGTCAAAGGCCCCAACACTTCTTTCAGGTGAAATAGTGATGTACTGTCCTTCCTTCAATTTAATACGGCAGGTTCACATTACGTTCTGGTCCACATTGATGGCACCAAACAGACAGACACGACTTAAAACATTAACTGTTTCTCTCTCCACAGATAATGCCAGATCTGCTGAGTTTCTCCTGCATTTTCTGTTGTTTGTTTCAGATTTCCGCATCCGCAGTATTTCGTCTTTAGTACGGAAGTCCTGATGCATAACCCTGTTTCCAGTTGCCTGTCATTTCAATTCTTTACCTTATTTCTGTTTTGACCTCTGTTATTGACCGATTGCAATGTTCTAAGGAAGTTCAACAAAAGATAGAGAGGTAGCATCTCATCTTTTGATCAGACATTTCACAGCCTTTTGTACTCAACATTACAGTCTAAAAATTGTTGAACTCAAACACTGTTCCCATTTTGTTTCATTTTTCTTTTCAGATTTGACTGTCTTCTTGCTTTTGGACTGCAGCTATCTTCCCTCAGCTGTTTAGAACTCCTTTAGGTACTTTTTTTTTAAAAAACTTGTCCTGTTGTCAATTTCCTTGACCTTGCATCACCAAGCCTCCTTTTATCACCTGCCTTCCACCACATTCGAGGTCGCCCCACCCCCATCCTCCACCCCACAAAATACATCCCCAGCGCCCCCTTGTTTAAGTCATTTTACACACTGGGTTTCTCCCACTTCTGAAAGATCATTAGCCTGAAAATTTTCTCTCTGAGTGCTGCCTGAACTGCGAAGTATTTCCAGCACTTTTAATGTCAGTTTTCCATTATCTGCAGTATTTTGGCTTTCCTTGTAGTCATTAAGGATATGTCAAGTACCCAAGTGATTGATTGTAATGGGGGATTCTCTAGTCTGTCTGTGCCCTACATGTTTCTGTGGTGGTTAGCAAGACATCAGGATTGTGTCTTGCCTCCCTAGTGCCAGGGTCAAGGATGTCTCAGAGAGGGTTCAGAATATCTGAAAAGGGAGACTTATCAGCAGGAAGTCATTGTACATGTTGGTACCAACAACACAAGTAGAGAGAGAGAGAGTTTCTGTGGAGAAAATATAGGAAACTTGGCAGGAGGCTAAAAAGTAGGTCCTCCAAGGTAGTAATATCTGGACTACTACTGGTGCCTCAGTAGTAGTGCCTAGGAGAATAGAGCAGATAAATGCATGGCTGAGGAGCTGTTTCAGCAGGCAAGGATTCACATTTTTGAACCACTGGGATTTCTTCAGGGGTAGAAATGACCTGTATAAGAGGGACAGCTTCCATTTGAATTGGAAGGGGACCAATACCCTTGAGGGGAGATTTGCTTGTGCTACTGGGGAGGTTTTAAACTAGTTAGGGTTTGGGGAACCTAAGTAATAGTGAGAAAAGGCTGAGGCTGGTACAGTAGATAAGAGGACCAGGCCAAATAGTTGAGGCAGACAACGAGGTAACACTATTAAATTAAACTGCATTTACTTCAATGCAAGAGGCCTAACAGGTGAGGCAGATGAACTTAAGGCATGGTTGGGAACGTGGAATTGGGATATCATAGCTATTTCAGAAATGTGGCTCAGGGATGGAAAGGACTAGCAGCTTGATATTCTGGGGTATAGATGCTACTGGAAGGATAGAAAGGGAGGCAAGAAAGGGAGACAAGAATGGTAGGGGAGTGGCATTTTTGGCTGGGATAACATTACGGCTGTACTTAGGGAGGATATTCCTGGAAGATTATCCAGTGAAGTCATATGGGTGGAACTGAGAAACCAGAAAGGAATGATGACCTTGTTGGACTGTATAAGAACATTCGTTCCCTCCCCCCCACCCCTCCACCCCCAAAATAGTCAGTGGGAAATTGAAAAGCAAATATGTAAGGAGATCTCAGTTCTAAATTGAAGTAAGACTAATTTTGATGGTATCAGATAGGAACTTGCAAAATAAAGACCGAAAGAACTGCAGATGCTATAAATCAGGAACAAAAACAGAAGTTGCTGGAAGAGCTCAGCAGTCTGGCAACATCTGTGAAGAAAAAAATCAGAGTTAATGTTTCAGGTCCAGCAACCCTTCCTCAGAACTGGACTATTACTTGTAAAAGAACTTGCAAAAGTTGAGTGGTGGAGGCTATGTGCAGGTAAATGTGTGGGAGGCCTTTAAAAATGAGATAACATGAATTCAGAGACAGTATGTTCTTGTTAGCATAAAGAGCAAGGCTGGTAGGTGTAGGGAATGCTGGATGACTAAAGAAATTGAGGCTCTGGTCAAGAAAAAGGAAGAGGCATATGTTAAGTATAGACAGCTAGGATCAAGTGAATCCCTAGAGTACAAGGGCATTAGGAAATAGTTGAGGGGGAAAAATCAGGTGGGCAAAAAGGGACACGAGATAGCTTTGGCAAATGAAGTTAGGGAATCCAAAGAGATTCTATAAGTATATGAAGGAAAAAGAGTAACTAGGGAGAGAATAGGGTCCCTTAAAGATCAATTGCCCGTCTATGTGTGGAACTGCATGAAATGGGCGAGATAAAAAGCAAATATATTTTACATCAGTATTTACTGTGGAGAAGGACATGGAAGCGAGGGAACTTGGGGAAAATAAACAGTGATATCTTAAACTGTTTATATTACAGGAGTAGTAGTGCTGGAGGTCTTAAAACACAAAGAGGTAGATAAATCCCCAGGACCTGTTCGGGGATACACCTGATCTTTGTGGGAAGCTAGGGAAGAAATTACTCGGTCCCTTGCGGAAATATTTGTATCATCAATAGCCGTGGGTGGGGTGCTGGAAGACTGGAGGTTGGCTAATGTGATGCTACTATTTAAGAAAGGCTGTAAGGAAAAGCCACAGAACTATAGACAGGTGACCTGATAGTCATGGATAACTTGGAGGGGATTCTGAGGGACAGGATTTACATGCATTTGGAAAGGCAAGGGCTGGATTAGGGATAGTCAACATAGCTTTGTGCTTGGGAAATTATGTCTCACCATCTTGATTGGGTTTTTAAAAAAAATTTAATAATTCTCTTGCAGCACTTAAAAGTGGGAAGCAGTTTTTTTTAAAAAAAAACAGCCAAAATCAGTTACAATGCTGTTTCTGATCAAATGAGTTGGTGTATGCAATTCTGAAGATGAAGCTGGAAAAATATCAAAAGTCCTAGACAAGTATTTCTATGTTGGAAAAAAAACAAATAAAGTTTTAATAACAGATGTAATTCAAATGGGAAATGTAAATAGGCATAATACCAACAGCTGTTGTACAAGTATGTGACAGTATATTACAAATATATCTTACTAATTCATCATGTAACAAGAAAGTATATGAGTTATTGACTTTAGATTCACTTTTCAATTTGTTCTCCACATTTGGAGACACCATATTTAAAGCCCATGTGTATCTGCCCGGAGAAGGTGGTTGTACTGGGTCTTATTCACAAACCACTGCTGTCTTCAAAAAGTGATGATACAAGTAGGTTTACCGAGTCCTGGAGCAGCTCGTACCCAGTGTAAAGATTTTACAGAATACTTGTATATAATCATGTCTGCAATTCTTCAAATAACAATCCCTGATTTTGCAATATTTAAGGTGTAGCATTGTTGCACTTATAGCTTATGTAAATTTGATGTATAAAGTTATAAAAAGGGAAGTTTAAAAGAGTGCAGTTTATAAAATGGCAGTTACATTGGCAAAAGTTTTTGTATGAAATGTTCTATAAATTCAGTTACAAGTATTTTGCTGTCCATGTATAACATCGTACCTCCAAACATGAAACGGGTTTTCCAGTTTACAATGTTGTCATCCATAAGCAGTTTATGCAAACTGCTCTGATCTCTGGAAAATACTGTAAGAGTAAATTCAGTTTCCTTGGATGTTTCTTCCTTTTGAGTTGAGAACAAAAGCAAGACAAAGTTATGATTAATGCATCTAATAAACTAACAAGGAACAATTCTTCTTCAGTTTTACTTAATAATGGCAACCTCAAATTTTAATTCAAACGTACAGTTCAATACCTTACTAACTGAGCTTTCTTGGTAAGTATGAAAGTTTATGCAACACATTAGCAACCATTTAAGGACAGATTGGCTGCAATTTCATCCGGGATAGCCTACCAACATTAATTTTTGAGGCTTGCACTGGAAGAATAGATACTTACGAAAATGTATAATTGCCTGTGAAAGCATAGCAAAAACAGAATTACATCTTCAGTGGAGGAGTAGAGAAAAGGTCTGCAAGGGGCCAACAGCTAAATTGAAAGTGCCTGAAGTATAGAAAGAAAACAAGATAGAACACATAACAAAGTAGACAAAGTAATAAATAATAATTGGACTGTTAACATAACTGGCTTGTACTAGGTCAAGAAAACAGCACACTATGGTGGGTTTATAAACCAGTAATGAGTTACTTAGGAATTCAACAACCACATTGTATTCATGCAAAAACTATGAAGTGGGAATGAGATGGCTTTGTTAGTGCTTCATATTTCATAAGGGAGAAGGATTTGCCTCAAGCATAGAGGAAATCCTTGCCTGTCCTGTGCCCCCATCATCTTCTCAGGTGTCGGTACAGTGATACACTCAGGGTGTAGACACATCAAGTGGTCCCCAAGAACCCAAATGGTGTTAGGTCAAAGATGAACAAGGAAATCTTTTGCTGCTTACCACTTATCATCTTAGCTCTAAATGATTAAACAGTATGTCATGTTGAACACCAAGTGGAAGAAGCACCAAGATGCCAGAGGCACAGAACATACTCTGGTTCAGGGACTTCAATGTCCATTACAAAGTGAGGTTTGGCACCACTAGTGACCAAGATAGACAAATCCTAAAGGGCACAGCAGCTAGACTGGGTCTGTGGCAGGCAGTGAGAGGAGAAACAACATCTTGATCTAGTTGTCAGTAATCTACCCATCTTGGATGTATCTGTTCATGATGGTATGAGCAAGAGGGACCATCTCACAGTCCTTGTGGAGATACATTCTGGATACCCTCTATTTCACTGTGCTGAATGGGATACTCTTCAAGACCAGGTTTTACACCATCATTAGATGTTGACCTTTTACTACAGTCTTTGGAAGACTGTGCAGGTATTACCTTCTGATCTCCATTCTCTTTCAGAGATGTAGGTTCCTTACTGCTTCTAATTGGAAAAATTGACTGAGCTAACTAAACATCTGAGTGATCTTCCTCCTGCTTAAATTCAGGATAACAATGATTCTCCTTTGCAGCTTTAAAAAACTCATTAAAATCATGTTAATAATCAGTCAAAAAAAGAAAATTTTTTTTAGCTGACTACCCGGGTGGCACAGCGTTTAGCACTACTACCTTACAGTCCCAAGGGCCCAAGTTCAAATCAAGCCTTAGGTGACTGTGCGGAGTTTGCATGGTTCTCCCCATGTCTATGTGGGTTTCCACTGGGTGCTCCGGTTTCTTCCCCACAGTCCAAAGATGTGCAGGTTAGGTGGATTGGCCATGCTAAATTGCCCCATCGTGTCCAGGGATGTGCAGGCTAGGTGGATTAGCCATGGGAAATGTAAGGTTATGGAGACATGGTAGGGTTTGGGTGGGGTGCTTTTCGGAGGGTCGGTGAAGATTCAGGTGGGCCAAACAGCCTGTTTCTGCACTAAAGGGATTCTATGATTGTTTTAAATACTTTTTCCTAATTAGTAAGAATTTTGCATAATTCTTCTTTTACAACAGCAATGGCTTCATATTTCTATTAATTTTGCATCAAAATTTTGAAGGAATCTAATTCCACAGTAACAATGTTAGTAACAGCCATTGGTTTAAATCACTGCCTCTGTTTACTTATTAAACTGACACTCTGCTGCTGTGTTCTGCCTTGACACTTCTTGGGGTTGATTTGTAATCTTCTGTGCGAATCAGAGACTTTCATTTTGTAGATATTCCCTCTATCCTGATGGATTGCCTGTGATTCAGAGTACAGAGACATCTTAGAAATTCTTCTTTCCTCAAATCCCATATGGGCTTTATGTCCAGGTAGAAATGCTATACTCAACTTTTTTTAAAAAATTCATTCATTAGATGTGGACATTGCTGCCAAGACCAGCATTTATTGCCCATCCCTAAACTCCCCAGAAAAAAAGTGGTGACCTGCCTTCCAGAACGTAGGATCAAAAGGAACAGGAGTAGGCCATTCAGTCCCTCAAGCCTGTTCTGTCATTGAATGAGATCATGGCTGACCCATGACCTAACTCCATATACCTGCCTTTGGCTCACGAGGTCACCTACAGTGCTGTTAGGAAAGAGGTTTCAGGATTTTGACCCAGCGACACTGAAGAAATGACGACAGTTTCAAGTTGGAAATAAACAAACATACTTTAAAGTATAACTATATCAACTCCCAACACTTTCCTGGCACAGTAAACACAAATGCTACTGCCAGGGTCTCCAATTATGAACACTGACCTTCTTTTCAAAAAATCAATTAGGGCTTTCCTTTAAATCTTAACAGCCCTCTCACGTGATTGTTAAGCAGCCATCACCTACCCACTTCATATTCCCCTTCCAATAAAGTTTCAGAAATAGGGATGATCACCAAAGAATGTACAGTATTTGGACCTCCGCAGATACTGAAGCAGTCTACATCCACATGCACACAGCGTGGACAACATTCAAGCTTAGATTAATAAATAGTAAGTAAAATTTGCACTGCACAAGTTACGGGCAACAACGATAGCAGAGATGAGATATTTTAACCATCTCCAGTCGACATTCAAAAGCATCACCATTGCTGAATTCCCCAGCTTTGACATTTTGGGGATTACCATTTAGAAGAACCTTAACTGAATAATTATTTAAATACAGTAGCTACAAGAGGACAGCGGCTGGGAATTTTTTTGTGAGTACCTTACCTTCTGACTCCCTAAAGCCTGTCCACCGCATACAAATCACAAGCTTTACACCTTCTAAGGCAGGAAGATTGACACAAATCTTGATTCTGTGATTCACCAACTGAATTGCAGAACACTCTCAACTACTTAACTGGACTACTTCTCTGCTCATTTAAAACAAATTAGCTATTTAAAGTGTGATAGTAAAAGTTATAGAAACTTGAACAGAAGAATGAGATTAGACTATAAGATTCCCATGGAAAGAAAAAAAGAGACTAGTGCAGATTTGAGGAACTGAATGGTATATTCCTGGATTATTCACATTCCAAGACCTGTTGAGAAAGAACTTGGGTATCACTTCAAATGAAACTGGCTTTTATCATGAGAAAGAAGGAGTGAATCTGGGCAGCTAATATTTTGTTCACTAAATTTTATATGTTTATTTTCCGTAGCACAAAAAAAACTCCATCAGGAAATGCAGTTCCACATAAGGGTCATTAGAAAATTTTTTAAAAGAATACAATGAAATCAAACACTTGTTATTTTGAAAATAAAATAATTTGAAGAATTAGCATGTGCTAAAGCTGGTCCTGTTTCTTTTCGTTCCAAGTGATTATATTTCATTCAATAAATAATTGGCAGAGAAATTAGCCCAAGTGCTGACAGCTTGGTAGTTCCCCGCCCATCAGAGTAACCTGCTGTGTGTTAAAACCACGCAATGTAAATTAAACTTGTTTAATTCCACATTACAAGAGTCTACTATTACCACTAGGGCATACAACTCCTATTTGCAGCCTTTTCTGAATTTACAAAGTTTTGGTTTTTGGTGAATTTCTATTCCCAATGGAAACGTGCAATGTGTACTTGCGATACCAAGGCATATGAGGCTATGGGCCAAGAGCTGGAAAATGGGATTAGTTAGGTGGTTGCTTTTGACCAGCGCAGACCCAAGGGGCCGAAGAGCCTTTCTTCAGTGCTGTAGACCTCTAAATGATTCTAAGAAACAGCCATTAGTAATGGACATAAATAGAAACTTGGGAGAAAAATCTAAATCTTAGCATTAGCCCTGCTGGTTTTACTAGTGATTACTTAATCCAATTATTTACTTGTAATAAAGTGCACTGTTCCTTAAAGAATCATAGCATACCTTTTTACATGGCCGACAAATTACAGCATTGAAATCAGGCCAAGAGTCAACAATAACTTCCAGATCAGGTATTTTGCCTCTATTAATGCTTAGAATAGTTCCGTAAGTCTAGAACAATAAAACAGAATATCTTTCATGACAACCGAACCCAGAAAAATAGTCTCACACCGTATTACGAAGTAACTCAATGAAGAAAAAAGCTGAGCAAGTTCTGCAGAAGGGTCACCGGACCTGAAACGTTAACTGATTTTGTTTCCACACCTCCCCAACTCCCCCCCCTCCCCACAGATGCTGCCAAACCTGCTGAGCTTTTCCAGAAACTTCTGTTTTTATTCCCGAAGAAAAAAAGCTGTTAATTTCATCCTTACTTTTATTGCAGCTGGCAAGTAATTCTTTAAGATTTTTTCTAAAGTCAGTAGCTTCTCTTCAGTCAGTAATAAAAACATTGTTGAAGGAGGCAGAACCAAAACGATTAAGCAAAGTAGCAACACCTTTGTGAATGGATTTGCTGCACAGCACTGATGTATTTCCTAGTGCAGATGTCAGTCCTGAACAAAATACAGGAACACAAATTAAGTTAACATTACTGAACAAGGGCATCAATTTCACAAAATACTTGGCAATTCCTACAGGTAAGGAGAAAGAGAAACTAGGAGACACTATTTGTCAAATACATGTAGCATAATATAATTCAAATTATACAAGTACTTAAGTAATCTTGAATTAAGTGGTACAGACAACAAGAAAATACAGTAGCATATAAAACACTAAGGAGTATGCAAATATATTTGAACAAACAGCCCAAAGAACTAGAAATAAAGTTGATTACAAAGAGATTGTCGGCAGATTTTGGATTGGATAAGATAGTGACTACATTCTTGCAGACAGAATGTCTAATGACTCTTTGAAGTATGCAACACGCTTACTGGATGACAATGTCAGGGAAACTATTTGCCAGGTCACAGTTAACAAAAGGATGTACGTAGGTGTAAAGGAGCTACAATGCATTAGAATTAGAGTTAGTTTTATTGTCACATGTACTCAAGTCAGTACAGTGAAAAGTATATAAGTTGCTGCTTATGGCACCATCTTAGGTACAAGGTCCCTAGGTACAGCTTCTTCAGTTACAGCTCTTAGAAAAATAGAGAAGTAAAAAGTCCATTATAATTTATTCCCAAAATTTGCAAAGTTACAAAAAAAAAGTTCAGTACAATGGTCTTCCAACCCAGTTCATGCTGGCTCCTAGCCTCCCATCCATACCAGGCCTTGACTGCAGACTGTCTGCCCACTGGACCCCACACTGTGCCAGCAGGCCGAGAGGACGCCTTGTTCAGCCTGAGCAGAGGCCAGGAGTTCCAAGGCTAAGAAGAGCAAAGAAACAAAGGGGGAAAATAAAGGAGCAAAAAGGAATGGACAGAATGGACGAGCTCCAGCTGAAGCATCCTACTCATCCACCAGCTTGGTGCAACATCAACAACGTGAAAATGGATTGTAAGCAGAATCACTAACTTGGCTTGTATCTTGCAGCAATCTGTTAAAGACAATAACTATGCCATATTCTACTACAGAAAGGCAACTCCAAGGATCTGTATGGCTGGAAGTGTTACATGCCTAGGTCAATGAATCCATTGCAGCGAGGTTAGAGTAAGTTAATCAGGACATATTGCTATACAACAAGCCCTACCATCTTCTCTCCTCTATGGTCCTGGTCAGATATGGTCTAGAATTTTGTCTTCGTATTTCTCACATAAATGGAAAAAACAAAGGCAGTGGACAAAGGTTTAGAGAAGGGTCATCAGTCTGTTACCTACTTTAAGAGGCCCTCTGATACTTGTTAAGTCAATAGAGCTGGGTCGAGCTAATTGGAGCCTCGTGTTGCTTCTTTTAGGGAAAGACTAATTGCCCCAACTTGGGCACCATGTTTATCTCCACCCCCACCGTGATCAATTCTGCACACATTCTAGAACGAGTAAAACCAAATTAGCATACAGCTAAAAATGATTGGCTAGGTGTTGCTACAATTAAGCAGTGCTATACAACTGCAAGTTGGTTATTACAGCCAATCTCTTAAGGTATGTTCCACACCACTCCTTGTAACAAAAATCAAGAAATGGAGGAATGAAGTCAAGTGTTCCTCTTTGAAGGAATGCTGCATCCACTTCTGGTCGATAGCACAGTTCCACTGAGGGGAGACCAAATTCCTGGTAGGAGCTGCAACTGGAGCATTTCAAATAGTGTCCTGCATTCTTCACAAAGCACAGTGCTTTGATCTGAGCCATGAATAGACCACTGTAATGTAGAATTATGGGACAAATGGAGAGTACACTGAAAAGAATATCTGATGACTCTGGAATTTCAGGACATATAAAAAAAGCTGGCAGTGAATGTGATGTGTATTGGAGAATTGGACTCAAATTAAGCACTTGCAGACAGCCCATATGAAATATGAATGTATCAATTACCTCTTCCTTAGGTCATTGCTGAATCCATGAGGGCTGTGCCCTCATGATTTCCAGGCTGTAGAGAATGCAGTATGACACCTCAAGGCAGAATACCTCAGGCAAAGGTTGGAGAATTTCACAAGAGCAATCAAGGCAGTGGAAGCTTTGCTTCAGCACCAGTCATCCATTTAATGATGCTCCATATGGCAGCACTGTTCTCAAATGTGAATGACGTGGAGGTGCCAGTGTTAGACTGGGGTGGACAAAGTCAGAAGTCACCCAATACCAGGTTATAGTCCAACAGGCTTATTTGAAATCAGAAACTTTGAGCGCTTCTCCTTGGTCAGGTGACTTCACCTGACAAAGGATCAATGCTCTGAAAGCTTGTGATTTCAAATAAACCTGTTAGACTATAACCTGGTATCGGGTGACTTCTGACTCAAATATGAATGGTTGGGCTTCTGGGGAGAAGTCATTAACCAGGTGGACAGCAGATAGTACAGCTGTTGGATGACAAGGACTCAGTTTTGAAGGTTGTGGTAATAGTGCACTGGCAAACAGGATAAAAGCATCATTACCTGAGGGAGGTGGTAGTCTGGTGGTAATGTCACTGGACTGGTATTCCAGAACCCATGTTCAGAGCAAATGGTGAAATTCAAATTCAATAAAATTTGAAATTGAAAGTTAGGCTAATGGTGACCATTTAACTATTATCAATGATCATAAAAACCTATCTGGTTCAATAATGTCTTTTATGGAAGGAAATTTGCTATCCTTACTTTGTCTAGCCTGCCATGTGATGCCAAACCCATAGCACTGTTGCCCCTGGATTAACAAGTAGGGTTTACAATAAATGCTGGCCTGCCAGGAACACCCGCATTCCCCCAAACATATTTTTAAAAGCCTGCTAGCAGCATTCATCAGCGCCATGATCTAGTCAGACACCAACTACAGAGTGAATATTAAAATCAGTGGTGCCACTGTATGACAGTACTGAGATGCCAGACCTGCAATGCCAGTAGATAGCAATTATAGTATCTGCAGCACTGGTGGTGAACTTGCGCTGACCACATTCAGCTTTTCCTCCTCACAAAAGCAGGAATTACTACACTAGCTAGTTCAAAAGGCACTGCTGGGATCTCCGCAACTAACTGGATCACTCTGCACAACTGGTTCATGTTCCAAAATGTATGAGTGTGAGATAACCTCAAGGGAGCACGGTCAAAAGCAGATTGTAATCACCTGATGTCTTGATCATAAAGTGCAAGTTCAAAATTCAACTCAACTCCACAGCCAGTTCATGCAGTTTCAGTTGAGACAGGCCGGATGGGTGGAGGGTGTACGGAGGCTTTTTTTTTGGGGGGGGGGGGAAACAGGAGATGCTTAATATATCAAACCCCAATTGCCATTTTCTGTTAAAAGTATTAATGTTTTCTTAGAAACTGTAACTTTTCTGCGCTTCCTTATTCCACCGATACGGACCTACAATTACATGATTTACCGATAGGTGATTGTACAAATTCCAAAACATTTGATAGAAGCTGCGGTTTGTCAAAAGTGTTTTACTGTGGATAGATATGATTTTATATTCATATTCCTTCTTTGCTTATTTTTCAGTCACTGATCCATTTATCAACATAAATAGTTCTCACTCTTCCTGGCTGATTCAGTTCCTGTTCGTTACCATCCTTACTGCAGGAGGCATGCATATCGTTACAACTTGTGTGGATTAGGTTAGAGATAACAAGGTGTAGAGCTGGATGAACACAGCAGGCCAAGCAGCATCAGAGGAGCAGGAAGGGCTTAGACCCTTCAGCATCTGCAGTTCCTACTATCGCTGGATTAGGTTAGATTTATTTATATTGTCTCGTACCTAGATACAGCGAAAAGTAACGTTTTGCATGCTATTTGCAAACAGTCGCCACTCTGAGGCCATCTTGGATCTATTTATATTACAGCAATAGTCTTGATATTTTTGGTTCAGCAGTCCATCTTTTCAGTTTTCTCCTCGATGCCTGGTAATTGTCTAATGGTTGCGATTTCTTTGGATTAGTTCAGTTTGGCTTTGTTTTGTTCTTCTGGGGAAGAAAATAGGGCACGTTGACAGCCCAACCGGACAGATTTAGTACTAATCTAAAATTGTGTCCATGATAATTCCCCTGCCCTGTATAACTCCAGGAATGAACTCTGGCCTCCTCAACTCCGCTTGCCTGACTCCTTCAGTAACTTTCGGAATACTCACCCCCATTTTTAAAAGGTGCATGTTCAAAAATAAATTTTACCTCTTTGATAAAGCTGCCCTCAAATCTCCTCCTCCGACGTTACGTTTGCTAACAGTCTGATGAACCTTGGGGTGTTAATTGTACGCAATGGGGAAGACATTGTTTTAAACCAGGCTCCGGTAGTCCCCGGTTTAATAAAAGTGGGCAAAGCCAAAGCATTCTGCTGTTATTTCAGATTTCTGGCTTTCGCTTTTATTTTCACAAGCAAACGCGGTGGGATGGCCAGAATCTCGATCTGGGATTTGTGTGTGGCCGAAAAGGACTGTCAATAAAATATTGTTTTCAGTCATTGGTTGACTTACTAACCACTGATATTGGTGACAAGGTGCAGGGCTGGATGAACACAGCAGGCCAAGCAGCATCATAGGAGCAGAAAGGCTGACGTTTCGGGCCTAGACCCTTCATCAGAAAAGGGGGAGGGGAAGGGGGTTCTGAAATAAATAGGGAGAGAGTGGGAGGCGGATAGAAGAGGGATAGAGGAGAGGATAGGTGGAGACGAAACAGACAGGTCAAAGAGGCGGGGATGGGGCAAGGAAAGGTGAGTGTAGGTAGGGAGCTAGGAAGGGGATAGGTCAGTCCAGGGAGGACGGACAGGTCAAGGGGGCGGGATGAGGTTGGTCGGTAGGAGATGGAGGTGCGGCTTGAGGTGGGAGGAGGGGATAGGTGGGAGGAAGAACAGGTTAGGGAGGC